ATCTGCTGTTTTACATGATTGTTGAATGAAATTAACATAATTATTAATTTAGTGTAAAAACATGACAGATAATCTGTGAAACAGATACGGTTCAGCTGCTGTTTATCTATTAGTTTCTATGGAGGCTGTGAGCTGTTGCCTTTTTAGACACCATTTTTGTTCCTCCATGCTGTCACAGACYCTACCAGTGTACGGTAAGGCCGGGACTCAGTTTAGTGATATTTAAGTCTATGGCTTCTCATGTATCAGCCGATCCTCGATCACCCAAAATGAAGGAAATCTGGGCAGATTAGTCGTTGAGTCCCCATTTAAAACATAATTTTTTTAATCTGTGGCATGACATCTCATCTAGACTCCATGCAGACAGTTTAGTAAAAGCTGAAGGATTGACAGCAGAGACGTCTTGCTTCGTCTGTGCTTATCGGTAAAACAGCATGACTAAAGAGAAAACACTGAGGTCTATGTTTTGAGTCATGAGCTCACGGCTCATAGTCAGTAAAGTGGTGGGAACCAACTACGGAGCAGCTCATGACAGCTGAAGAATGCAGCTGTAGATATTGCTTAGTTATAACCCAAGATGTGTCTCTCTCACGCACCACCATTAAATAATTCAAATCTTACAAACATGTGACCTGATGCACATACACAGATCCAAACACAAGTTTATGGTAGAAACAAACAAAAACAAATTCAGCAAACTTCTGAGCCAACTCCCATTTGCAAACTTGACACTATTAAATGTGAATTCAAACTTTGCCATAAAAAACATCCCGATCTTACTTTATTTACATGATAAGACCTTGTGCAACTGAAACAGGTCTGCAAGTTCCAGAACGATTTCATGGCCATTTTTATTAATTTATTTATTTWTTTGACCTTGTTACATAAACTGCTGACAACAATTTCACAGAAGCTGAAGAAAAAGGCCTCATTGTAGATAGGCACAAAACTGGTTTATTACGTCTGCTACTTCARATCTGATCATCTGAATCCTGATTTCATGGTCACAAAAATACTCAACCATTTTTCTCTTGGGAAGGAGGAAAAAATGTACTTTTATTGAAGTACAGTCATAAAATAATTGTAACTGTGAAAGTCCTCACTTTCTACCCTTAAATGGACAACTGTAAGCATATTTCTATGAGAGAATCTAAAAACAAAGTAGATTTTATTTTAAATGTGGCCCCCACAAAGCACTTTT